AACTTTATGATGCAGACACAAATCGACTAATGTTTCTATGGGGTTATGTTGACAGATGCCCAAGTTTATTGTGTGACGTCTGTGATCTATTTATTTTGATCACCACTTACCGCTAAAACCATCTATACGAAAAAGGTATAAGCAAAGTTATACACCTAATACATGTCCATTTCTAATATAATAATTACTAAAAGAAAGAGAAAAGTTTTTGTCTATTTCATAATAAATTTGGTACCTTCTTATTTGGTTATCCTTCAAAGGAATTCATTGAACAAGGAAAAAAACAATTTTGTACAATATATATATATATATATATATATATACATATGATGTCTTCCTACAAGTGTTTTAAAAATGTTATCAAATTATAAATATACTGTTTCATCAAATCCTAACTGTCCTAATTGAATATTATTTTTCGCCTAGATTACTAAGATGCAATGTTTTGCAATACATTATTCATGTTAACATTGAATGTTATTCATGTTAACACTGCAATTAGCTATTGTATGATCAACATATAATGCAGTTATATAAAAAATAAATACTTATTAGCCAATTAGTATCATTAGCAATTAGTAGTACTTATTCGAAATCAAGCACGAACCTGAATTCATTCCAACGATTTGCCCCTTTTTAAACTTATGTGTCAATAACATACGCAGACAAAAATTATTGTTTTATCTATGTCAGCAAATCTACATATTTTTTACATCGCCTTATCAATACATTATTGATGTCAACATTAAATGGAATTAGCTGTTCTATGATGAAAATGAAATGAATAAAATTTTATTAAAGGATTAATTTCTTTATTAATGCTTTGTTCTTAATTGTTTAAAATATTTTGTATATTCTTTTATAAACATACCTTCAAAAGTATTTGACTGATTTTAGCAGGTTGACAAAGTCACTGTTGCTGTTGGCATTGTTATTATTATTATTGTTATTATTATTATTATTATTTACAAAACTGATTTAATAGTCACTACTGCACTGTGATAAACTGTGTTGTTATCTCGCGCAACCAATGTGATATGAGACGAATAGGTAGCGCGTATATAGAGAATACGGAGCGCGTATATAGAGACGTTTTCGTTCATATCTCAAAAATGGTTTTTCGAAACATGATTTAAATACGCATCGTTATTTTCAATGTAAAATTCTCTTTAATTTTGGTCATATAAAAAATTAAAATATTTTTGAAAATAAGAGTAGAGGGTGGAGGTATACAATAAATAAATAAATAACTAAGAAAAATTTGTTTTATTATAGTTATAAAGTATTCTTGCAACCATTCAATTTTTATTGCAGAAATTTTTTTCTATCTCTCATAGTTTCAATATTCGCTTCGAAAGAAAAAACCGATTTTCTTCAAGGAAGGATTTCACCCTTTAACATGCGACTCAGCATGTTAAAGGGTATAAAAAAATACGTGTTTCTTATTTTTATCTCTTGTTTTTAGAACAACATATTAAAAGCTCATTTAAATCGGCGACATACAACTGGTTGTGTTCCCGTTAGAGCGAAAATGTACGTCTTGCGCGTCAATGGGAAAAAAGATACTAAGAAGGCAAAGGGCGTCAAGAGCAATGTTGTAGCAAGATCCATAACGTTCAATGATTATACACTCAATGACACAATTGAAATGACGCGCAGGCAGTCGTGCATAAGATCGAAATTGCACGAAGTATATACCATATCCGAAACGAAAATCGCTTTAAGCCATACGACGATAAGCGGTACATTGTTCCAGCGGTACATTCTACCGACACGCTGCCATGGGGATATTATTAGGTGTTGGAATTAATTCGTAGCGTTTTTAATGAAAGAATGTTATTTATTTCACATGAGCATTAAAAAATACATTAATGAAAGTACTTCCCATCACTTGTAAAACGCTACGAATTAATTCCAACACCTAATATAAAATATTATTATAAAAAATTCATTTCTTTTTTTTGTATTTATGTATTTTTTTTTTATTAATAAAACTACACTTGTATATAACGTATAATATATTTAATGTATATTATGTATAGTACATATAATATGTATATCATGTATAATACATATGATATGTATGTACGTTGGTACGTATGTATGTACATATGTATGTATGTACGTATGTACATATGTACATATGTTTGTACGTATGTATACATGTATGTACGTGTGTACTTGCATCTGTAATATGTGTAATGTGTATAACATGTATAATGCGTTTATATTTATCTAGGGAAAAAATAATTATACAATTTATTATAAATTTTGTTTCTATGACACATTATCCTTGTGTATCCAAGAGTTGTGTGAATTATCAAATGAGAGCCATTTCATGTAAACCTTGTCTCCTTTTTTACTAGATATACGCAACATTTTTTTAACTAGATATACGTCGAAATTAGCGACGTAACTCGTACTCGTAAAATCCTCCAGCGACCGATTTTCCGCGGTAATCTTCCAGTAGTACGTCACAAGATTAGTTTTCTGTACTTTGATGATTCTAAACACTTCCGTAGTCCAATTTGGCGTGTAACCTTTCTCAAAGATCGTCTTGAATTTGCTCACACGTACCGAGTCACTCACTTTGAATCGTGGGAGTGCGATGGCCTTTACGCTACTGTACACCGTGTTTAAAAATTTGTCAGCAATCGTGGGAGTCACATCGATAGGCCGCATACTGATAGTTCGATGCTTTCGCGTGTTGTACTTAGACACGAGACGCGATAGCAAGTCGATCCATTTATAATTTCTATTGTGCGTAAATTGTTTCCACATATGTTTTTCAATGTACAGTTCAACAACAGATATCTTTATTATAGAATATGTTAAATAATGATTTATGTTGTGTTTTTTCAGGAGTTTTACACGTTTGCATTATAAAATTCTTTTCCCATATCGGTTTGCAAATTTTTCGGATATCTTCCATCGTTTCGAATTATCTTTGCGATCGCTGTAGCTTCATTTCCACTCTTGGTTTTCAGCGATACGGCTCATGCATGCTTACTCAACACGTCGATAACGGTGAGAATGTAGTGATAACCTTTATTTTATAACTGTTATATATTTATTTTATTTGATAACTGTTATACCCTTTACAACATTGACTTCTTTCTTAATTGATTGAGATTCATTATTAGCAGTGTTCTCAACAATTTGTTTTAGAGGTTTGACGGTAGGCTTAAAATGTTTCTCCAATGCTATATTTTCCTCTATTTTGCCAATTTTTAAAGCGCGATATTTTTTACAAATCAATTCACTCGTTTTCGCAATTTGTTTCGCGACCCTTGAGCTCTTTGTTGTTATCCATGTTGCACAAAGGAAATGTTGCGTAGTTGACGTATTGACAACAACTAACCACGTTAAGGTATCGCATACTCATTAAATCCTTTTCTGTATCGTCCATTCGTAAGCGCACTGTTTTTATCTATGACTATAAATCCATACTTTTGTTGCCAACAGCAATGATACAGTTCGCAGAAATTTTCGTAAAACATGTCAATGTTTACATGATCATTGTATACATGTTTCAGATTGGTACCGTCCTTTGAACAGGATCAATAGATTTGCATTATGTATAAGATGCTTCGATTTCTTTGCGTATGTCTGACATAGATAAAAGCAGTCGATGTCCGCGTGTCGACCTATCGCAAAGTACTCTCTGATCGCGTCTTGCTTGTCGCACGTCACGTCATCGAAGACAAAAACAGAATTTAGAAGCGCCTCGTTCGGTCATAATACATCGTTATTATTGGAGAATGTAAAATAATTTCTTCAACCGGGACTAATAAATTTTCCAAGTATCAATATTTTGGCTGTTGCAACGACTTCGAGTACACGTACACGTTCTCGACACTATGCCATGTAGACTTTCTAACAAATATCAACACGATTGTTTTGCCGCAATTCGATGGACCGTAGATGAATCCGCAGATGATCTTCGTATAGAAATCGGCAGCATGTTTCCATGCTTGCGAATTTCTTTTTCAGTCTGTATTTTATTGTCGACATTAGTCACTTTGATCGTCTACGATTGTCGCACGAACTTCATATCTTCTCTCTTCACAACACTGATAATATTGAAAAAAACAACATCGAGGGCGGATGCATTTATAATAGAGCGCAAAGCGAATCCGCTCAGTATTCAAAATGTTTCTTATCGGACAACTATGTACATAGTTTAACCATCAAAGAGTTGGAATATATACTGAAAACTATTTTGCTACGAGATTTTAAAAATTACATTAGATCAACTGTGGGAATCCGAGCATATAAAGGCTGATGCAGAGGTTCAGCAACATCATCGGTGCTTGAAACATTATGATTTGCCCTGCCATCGTATATTATAGATCGTATATTGATGGTTCAGCGCCATTTATAAGAAATTGTAGCAAATGTCAATAACAACAACAAAAGGCTGTGTGTTTTTTAAGGATGCGTTCCACTTAAAGTCTGCGATGACCACGACCACGACTGCAGTATTTGCCGTTCCACTAGCTTACGGGCGCTGGGTGAAATCTTTAGTGGAACGGATTTTGTGGTTGAACAGTCTCTGTAACATGGATGCCATTAAGGTAATCGTACTGCGCTGTAGAAAATATGAATCTAAAGACTCATCGAGTTCTGATGATGAATGGAAATTAGTGTTACGTAAAAGGAAAAAGCGTACACTTCGTCCGCGAATTCTAAATTATGTCGATATTGTGGACCGTTACATGGATTACGATTTCAAAAATTATTTTAGGTTAGTGAACATACATGATTTTTCATTTCCAATTATCCACACATGCTTCTTTGTCTTACGCAAGTTGTTGATATTAACAATAATATTTTTTCTTATTCATAGAATGTCGAAGGCGACTTTTGAACTTCTTTTACAAATGCTCAGGCCATATTTAACGAGACAAATAAAGGGATCTCCTATGATACCACCACATCATCAATAATGATAATAATAAAAATATTTGAAAAATGGTAACAATGGATTTCTACAGATAAGGAAACATTTAAAATAATGCAATAAATAATTATTAATTCACAATAAAGTATTTGCATTTTACATTTTTTAATAAATTTCTTTCTTAAGATCTGTTTACGATAGATTCAATGTTGGAAGAGCAACTGCTGTTCGAGTTGTGCGAGGGTCACTCATACACTTTTCTTAAATGCTTCAACATTTATTAAATGGCCTATAAGTGATTATGCTGAAAGGATTATGCAAGGATTCGTAGAAAGCAGTGGCTTTCCGAAAACCATTGGGGCCATTGATGATATCCATATTCGAATAGAGGCTCCAAAAGAAAATTCTCGATTACATAAACCGTAAAGAATTTCATTCGATACAGTTACAGTAACAAGTATTTTAATTTGTTAATAACGAATAGTTTTTTAAAAATATTTGATTATGTACATCTGCGTTCATTTACAGTTGGTGTGTGATCACAAAACTTTGATCACACATTGTTATGCTGGGCATTCTGGCTCAGTTCATGACCAGCGAGTTTTTCGACAATCTGAGGTAGCAAACTACTTGAATAATGAAGAGAAGTTTCCAGCTGACAGTCATATATTGGGAGATGTTGCATACGAAATTCATCAAAACTTACTGACTCCCTTTAGAGACAATAGGCACCTTACAGTAGCACAGAACAATTATAATTATCGCTATTCAGTAGCCAGAGTGACAATCGAAAGGGATATTGGTCTATTAAAAGGGAGGATGAGAAGTTTATTGCATTGTCTGCCTATGTGGCATTAAGAGTGAATTTAATGACGGAATATATGATAGCATGCTGTGTGATTCAATATCTGTATATTAAGAAATGATGAAATCAAAGGGATTATCACCATACTCCCAAGTCCACCCAACTTCACAAGAGTAATAGAGGTCATGTTATTTTATATCAAGGAAGACCAAATGCTGACGGAATTGCCAAAAGAGATTTAATTATGAATATTTTATGTCAATAGTTTAAAAAATTGTTATGCAAGATTCACATAATATGCACGTATGATCCAATAAGAGAATTTTCATCTCCAGAAAATAAACTCTTACTAGATATTGTATCATGTCGGATGTCTTTAAAATAAATATTTGTAATAAATATTTCATTGCTCTTTATTTGATGTTATAATTTTATTTACAAGAACAGGTTTTACAGACATACTTATAAAATGTAAGAAATATAACAACAAAACATATATAAACGAAACATATATAAATACAAAACATATATAAACATATATAAACTATTCTATTAAGTTTATAAATTTTCTTATAAGTTTTTTAATTGTTTTGATAAATGTGGTAAAGTAAACGTAAATGAGATCATAGAGTGACTTTGTATTATATAATATAAGTAATATAACATGAGTAATATATCAGTATTAAATAAAATAAAATTAATATAAATTTTTCTTTTCACGCCTATAAGCACACGATGTTTGCTGAATTTGCATTTGGCAATTTGCCAAAACGATAATAAAACACAAATTCAGCGAGAAAAAAGTATTGTATGCCGCCAGCTTAAAATTCATCTAAGTGTAGGTATTACAAAATAAAATATTACATAAAAAATGAAAGATGTATTATTATTAATGTATTAAAGATTATTTATATTGATCGTAACCGTATTCCATAATCTAAGAGTTGATCAATCACACTCAAGTATTCCCCTCTCATCAATCAATTGTAAAAGTGGAATACTCAATTATGATTGATCAATTCTTACAAAATATGAAATATGATTACGGGCAGTACAAATACTTCCTTATGCATTATAAAGACATGAAAACAAATTTCAGTAATTTATAAAATGCAATAAAAAATATTCTATATTAAAAAGAAATAACATTTAGCTTTCTATTTGTGTAATATTTAACGATATTGTATTATTGCATAGCTTTTAAATGAAATACAAAATATGTGCAGTGAAACATAATGATTGTTAAACATTAAACAGAATAAAGATTTTAGTTATGATTATAGCTATAATAACTTTGGAAAGGAACGGAAAAATATTGTACTTTTTAGAAGACACATTTTTTTTAAGCATTAACTACTTTTCAGCTAATTTAGTCAAAACTGCAAGGAATTTCTCACCCATTTTCAGTCTTTCTTTATGCCTAGTCTTTCTTTTTGATCTAGTTTTTTCTTAAACAGACCGTACATATTTTCTTTTGATGATGCTGATGACTCTTTTCTTTTAATACCACGTACACTTTCTGTTGATGATAGATCTATAAAAAAACTATTATTAAATATTTGAATAAAATTTTAACAATTCAAATATTCATTATTTGAACTAAATAAATACATGACAATTAATTGTGATAATAATCAAATATACAATAATAACATTAAAAGTTTTTATTTCTCAACTAATATTTGAAAAAAAAAAGTTAGTTAAGTACAGGACTCTTAATTTCAAAATAACGATTGTGTAATGTAAAAGGACAAGTAAGAGTCAGATAAATAAATAGGAAACGCTTTATCACAAATATTCAAATAAATGTACTAAGGAACAATAATAAAATTATAAAATTTACTCATTTATTTGAATATTTGTGATAAAGCGTTTTCTATTTATTTATCTGACTCTTACTTGTCCTTTTACATTACACAATTGTTATTTTAATATTTGAAAAACAGACCACAACATGGTTTATAAACTTACCAGATGTAGGCTCTGTATTAACAAATAATTCTGAGTTCTTGATCTGCTTAACAGGAAGTCCCGTTGATGATGCGACGGCGACTGGAGAGTACCAGGCTCTTTTCGAAAAGATATCATCCATAATCTGCAAAAAGTACAAGAAGAAATGTAGAATAAACTTTTCACTACATTTTTAGTATAATTTTTCTTGAACCTCATAAAATTGCCAAGTCCGCCTATCATTGTCTGATAAATTATTGTGACGCTTTTATAAGTTTTTTTCAGGCTTCTCAGTTTTGCCGCACATATCCTTTTTCCACAAGAATTTTATCCCATATTTTTTTGTGTGAATATTTTCCACTGGAAAATTTATCTTGAAAAATTTTATACGTGTCTAATAGTACAGTAGCTGTCGATCTAGCACCTATACATAGAACCTGAAATATACATTAAACTTGTGATTAATTGTTCATTAAAAATTGAATAAACGTTTTAACTAATCTACTATCAGTATCATCACTTGAAATATTTATTTCAGCATTCGTTTCATATATTGATTCTTGAACTGTAGGCGTGATTTGTGTTGGGACTGATTCGATAGATATACTATTTGTTATATTTTTGTCTTTCACAGCTGCATTTAATAAAGACGTAGCAAAAGCTAAGTCTAAAATCAAAGAAAATTGCGTTAAAGCAGAATGTTCCTGAACAAAGTAAGATTAAGTATGTTAATTAAGGAAAAGTAATGTTTCATAACATTCAGAATATATTACTTACCACTTCGCGCACGTAAAATATCTTCCTGAGAAAGAGTAACATCAATTACAATGTTTCTTTCCGGATCATATAAAGAAACTTTTTTCATTGTTACAAATTTAGTAAATCACTCGAAACAAAATATCTGCGCAAAAAGATAGCAGACGACGAATAGCAGACCACGCTGACCCACATACGAACCATGAGCGTCTTTTTTTTGATGCAGTCGCGATTAATAATGTCATATATGACGTTTTCATCGCAACCAGAACGAACGTGATCGTTGCGGGCGTTTAGTGGAACGCACGCGTATTTTGTGGTCCAAGTACGCATTTAGAAAAACGATTGGCTAGAGGCGATCGAGGCATTAATCCGTTGGACGCGGCGTGTCTCGAACATGACATAATTTATTTGCGGAGCAAAGATCTTACGAAACGACACGTAGTTGATAAAACTCGCTGAGGAGGCGCGGAAACAGATCATCGCGAAAGATTCGACTCTTGGAAAGAGAGAGAGAGAGTTGCTACCACAGCTGTTTGAGCGGTTATGAAAGCCAAAACAAAAATTGATATGGGTATGAAAACGAAGAAGAAAAAGCCGACGAAAAAACGAATATTACGGTTATGATTGAAATGTCATAACCATGTCATGGAGTTTATCTCGCTTCATACAAACGTGATCGAAGAGTGACAACGCAAAAAAATAAAAAAAGATTAAAAAAAAACCTTAACACTTGCCAAAAATGTCGAAGGATGAAACTACCAACGTACAACTGCAATAACTAGTAAAACGTATGTATATTCCATATTTTAGAGGTATTTTTATGCGTGCTATCTTACCAACAGGGGGATCGTATCGAAACAAGAGCAGTATCATAAATTTGGATAATGCTGATGGACCTCATTATGATGGTATTCATTGGATATCATATGCGAAGTGGGGAGATCATGCTGTTTACTTTGATAGATTCGGTAATCTTCGATCACCGAAGGCATTGGTGCGATATTTAGACGTAACGTAAATCGAGTATAATCGCACATCTTATCAACGTTATGATCAAAGCAACTGTGGACAACTGTGTTTATAGTTTTTACAGACGATCAATTTAAGAATTGACATTGCACTCTTTCAACTCAGTATTCATTTAAATAAGTTACTGACATTTACGCTCACCGGTAAGAGTAGCGTCCTCACGGCTTGCTACTTTCCGGCCGTAGATTTGATGGCGATTACAAGCTTCGATTACGAGTCGGTTTGACAGATTTTGAAACCTACTATATGATATCTAATGTAAATTCATTGAATAATAAGTTTTACTTTGACGAAGAAATTGTCATTCCCGAAGGGTCGTACGAAATACGTGTCATAAACAAGTAAACAATTTAAGACGTACAATTCTATAATTTTATCCTAATGATGTTGCAAGAGAGAAAACGCTTCGTAAAGATGATGGACAGTACCCTGATTGACTATTCATCAATAACAATACGATGAAGAGTGATATCAAATGCGCTTATCGAGTAAATTACACTAAACCTCACAATATTGGATCGTTGTTGGGATTTTCATCGCCATTATTAAGAAAATAACAATTATGTAGGAAGAAAAATATTTTCATGATAATTTCCTGGAAGGTACGTGGGCAAGTCAATAAGTTCTTATAAAATCTGTCACAGGGCACTAACAATGTCATGTCACATTACTTTTTGACAAGTAGCATCTTTCAGCTGATTACTGTTAAATTTTGAGCGGAATTCATCGCGTGGTTTCATTTCTATAGATGATTAAAGCGAACAACCTTTGTATTTTTTGCAAAATGGAAAAAAACGAGTTTCGTGCAGTGATCAAACATCTACATACGAAAGGTTTAACGCTGAAAGAAATCAAAGCTGAGTTGGATAATGTTCATAGCACATCTGCACCAACGTTTGCAACTGTATACAATTGGATGAATGAATTTAAACGTGGTCGTACATCCACATGTGATGAACCTCGTTTGGGACGTCCAATTGGGACGTCTGCTACGCCAGAAATCATCTATAAAGTCCATGATATTGTTTTGATTGATTGACGAGTGAAAGTGCGCGAGCTTGTTGAGGCCACAGGCATATCACATAGCACAGTGATTTCAATTTTGCACGAACAATTGAGTATGAAAAAGCTATTAACAAGATGCTGGGTGCCGCGTTTGCTTATTATAGACCATAAGCGCGACTGTGTGACGATTTCAAAACAATGTTTGGAGATGTTTCAACGTAATCCAGATGAATTTCTGCGTCGATTCATTACTGTGGACGTAACATGGATCCATTACTTCACATCTGAGACGAAGGAACAGTGCACTTCAAAACAATGAACTTCATCGAGTGAACCAGCTCCGAAGACCGTGAAGTCGGCCGGAAAGGTGATGCCCATAGTTTTTTTTAATGCACACGGTATAATTCATATCGATTACCTTCCGTCGAAGCAAATGATCAATGGCGATTACTACGCAGCCTTATTGGACCATTTCAACAACATTTTAAAGAAAAAACGTCCCCATTTGGTGAAGAAGAAAGTGCTCTTCCATCAAGATAATGCACGGGTTCACACGTATTCGACACCGATGGC